AATGGCTTGGGTCGATTTCTAGATTCCACTGATCTATATGCCTGTTCTTGTGCCAGTACCAGGCTGTTTTGATAATAATGGCTTTGTAGTATAACTTGATATATGGCATTGTGATTCCTCCAACTTTGTTCTTCTGTCTCAGGAGTACTATGGCTATTTGGGGGTTTTTTTTGGTTCCATATAAATTTTTGGAGTATATGTTCTTAATCTGTGAAATATGCTGTTGGTATTTTAATGGGGATTACATTGAAACCATAGATTGCTTTGGGTGTTATGGACATTTTAATGATGTTAATTCTACCAGTCCATGGACATGGTAAATTCTTCCAGCTATTTATATTGTTCTTTATCTCTTCTATCAACATCCTGTCGATTTCTGAGTGCAAGTCTTTTATCTCTTTGGTTAAGTTTATTCTTAAGTATCTTAGTTTTTTGTTGTTATTGTTGTTGCAATGGTAAATGGGATTGTTTGTTTAGTTTCTCTTTCTGAGAATTCATTATTGGTATATAAAATGACTCCGATTTCTGAGTGCTAATTTTGTATCCTGCTACATTGCCAAATTCATTTATTAAATCTCATAGTTTTTAGTGGAGTCTGGGGTTTTCTATGCACAATGTCATGTCATCTGCAAATACTGAGAGTTTTACTTTGCCCTTTCAAAGTTGGATTTATTTTATTTCTTCTTCTTCTTGTCTGATTGCTGTGGCTAAGACTTCCAGCACTATGCTGAATAAGAGTGGTGAGAGTGGACATCCTTGTCTTGTTCCTGTCATTAGGGGAAATGCTTTTAGCTTTTGCCTATTGAGTATAATACTGGCTGAAGGTTTGTCAGATATGACCTTTATCAGATTGAGATATGATCCCTCTATTCCCACTTTGCTGAGAGTTTTTATCAAAAATGGGTGTTGGATTTTGTTGATTTTTCTGCATCTATTGATATGATAATGTGATTTTTGTCTTTCAATTTGTTTATGTGATGTATCACATTTATTGATTTGTGTATATTGTACCAGGCTTCCATTCCCAGAATACATCCCACTTGGTCATGGTGTATTATCTTTTTAATATATTTCTGGGCCTGATTTGCTAATATTTTGTAGAGGATTTTAGTATCTATGTTTATCGAGGATATTGGCATGCAATTCTTTTTCTTCACAGTATCTTTATCTGGTTTTGGAATTAGGATAATACTGGCCTCATACAAAGAGCTTGGAAATATTCTTTCCTCTAGGATTCTTTGGAATAGTTTGAGGAGGATAGGTGTTAGTTCTTCTTTGAATGTTTGGTAAAACTCCCGTGTGTAGCAGTCCAAACCAGGGCTTTTGTTTTCTGGGAGTTACTTATTACTGCTTCAACTTCATTGTTGTTATTGGCCTATTCAGGTTTTCTGATTCTTCCTGATTCAGTTTTGGGTGGTTGTGTTTTTATAGGAAATTTCCCATTACATCACATTGTTCAGCTTGTTGGCATATAGTTGTTCATAGTATTTTCTTACAGTTCTTTGTATTACTGTGTTGTCAGTTGTAACTTCTTCACTTTCGTTTCTGATTTTATTTATCTGGGTCCTCTCTCTTTGTTTCTTGATGAATCTGGCTAATGGCTCATCAATCTTGTTTATCTTCTCAAAGAACCAGCTCTTGGTTTCATTTATTTTTTTTTTTTAATTTTATTTTTTAGTCTCTATGTTGTTTATCTCCACTCTGATCTTTATTATTTCCTTCCTTCTGCTTACACTGGGCTTTTCTTGTTTTCTTTCTAATTCTTTAAGTTGTAGAGTTAAATAGTTTATCATTAATTTTTCTTGTGTTTTGGGGTATGTTTTTTTCTTTTGTTTTTTTGTTTTTTTTGGTTGTTATGTGCTCATTTTCATTTGTTTCCAGATATTTCTTATTTCTTTCTTGAGATCATTGTTACTCCTTTCATATATATAAAATAGAGGAATATCCCCAGGAAAGGGATCCACAAGCTGTGGATTGCTGATATCTCCAAACAAGTTACTCAGGGCAAGTTACAAACAATGCCTGACATTGCACTTGAAATTGGAAATCATAGCAGATCTACTTAAATCACAGACACAAACCCAAACAGGGCAACCAAAATGGGGAGACAAAAAACAAGCCCCAAAAGAAAGAACAAGAGAATTCCCCAGAAGAGCTAAACAAAATGGAGATAAGAAATTTATCAGATATAGAATTCAGAATAATGATGGCAAGGTTTCTCAACAGCATGAGAAAAGGTAAAGTAACTATGAAAAAAGACCAGTCAGAAATCAAGATGTGAGAGTGACACATAGATTGGCTGCCTCCTGCACATGCTCTGCTCAGGGCCAGGTATGGAGCCTGCAACTGGGGTATACATCCTTGACTGGATGAAACTCAGGACCCCTCAGTTCAGACACCGATGCACATGGGGCCCAAACCTGTGTTCTTTACTAGGATCTACCATTCTTGATTTCTGACTGGTAACTTGCCCTGAGTAACTTGTTTGGAGATATCAGCAATCCACAGCTTGTGGATTCCTTTCCTGAGACTAGGTGCCTTTAGAAAGGACCAAGATGTGCACCTGGGTCATCTTTTTCCTAGTCTCTGGCCCAGAAGGAGATCAAGCAAAGACTCAAAGCCTCCCGAGACCACCTCTGCCTGCAGTCCAATTGACACTCAGTCTTTTTTTAATTTTAATTTAATTTTATTGTTTAAAGTATTACAAATAGTAGTACATAAGTCTCCTTTTTTCCCCACTGACCTTCCCCCAGCCTTCTGTACACCCCAGGCACATGCTCTCAGGCCTCCTGACCCCTCCCCCCCCCCATCGCCTGCCCAGTGTCTTGCAACCATTGGTTATGCTTATATGCATGAATACAAGTCCTTTGGTTGATCTTTTACTTCCCACACACACAACCCTCCCCAGCCTTCCTGCTGTACTTTGACAGTCTGTTCAATGCTTCTCTGCCTCTGTATCTATTTTTGTTCATCAGTTTATAATGTGCTTTATTATCCATAAATGAGTAAGATCATGTGGTATTTTTCTTTCACTGACTGGCTTATTTCACATAGCATAATGCTCTCCAGTTCCATCCATGCTATTGCAAATGGTAAGAATTCCTTCTTTTTTATAGCAATACTAGAGGCCTGCTGCACAAAATTTGTGCATTGGGGAGGAGGGGGGGGGGGGGAGATAATCCCTCAGCCAAGCCTGTAACCTCTCCAATCTGGGACCCCTTGAGGGATGTCTGACTGCCCATCTAGACCTGATCCCAGTGGGATCAGGCCTATACGGGCAGTTGGACATCCCTCTCACAATCCAGGACTGCTGGCTCCCAACTGCTCACCTGCCTGCCTTCCTGATTGCCCCTAACCACTTCTGCCTGCCAGTCTGATCACTCCCTAACCACTCCCCTGCCAGCCTGATTGATGTCTAACTATTCCCCTGTCAGCCTGTTTGCCCCCAACTTCTGTCCTCCACTGGCCTGGTCCCTCCCAACTGCCCTCCCCTGCTGGCCATCTTGTGTTGGCCATCTTGTGTCCACATGGAGCAGGATCTTTGAATACATGGGGGCAGCCAGCTTGTATATTAGAGTGATGGTCAATCTGCATATTACTCTTTTATTAGATGGGATAGAGGCCTGTGCACAGATGGGGGCCAGCTGGTTTGCCCTGAAGGGTGTCTCGGATCAGGGTGAGGGTTTCCTTGGGGTGTGGGGCAGCCTGAATGAAGGGTCTGTGGTGGTTTGCAGGCCAGCCACACCCCCTGGTGACCCAAGTGGAGGCCCTGGTATTTGGAGTTTATTTACCTTCTACAATTGAAACTTTGTAGCCTGGAGTGGAGGCCTAGGCTGCCCAGGGCTGCAGAAGCTTGGCTTCCTCTATCGCTGGGGGCAGCCCTAGCCTCTCTCCTGCTCTCTGCGGCAGCAGCCATCTTGGTTGGGATTAATTTTCATACTCGCTCTAATTGGCTGGTGGGCATGGCTGGTGGATGTAGCAGAGTGATGGTTAATTTGAATATTACTCTTTTATTAGGTAGGATAGTATTCCATTGTGTACATGTACCATCAGTTTTTAATCCACTCATCTGCTGATGAGCATTTAGGCTGTTTCCAAATCTTAACTATTGAAAATTGTGCTGCTATGAACATAGGGATGTATATATCCTTTCTGACTGGCATTTCTGTTTTCTTGGAATATATTCCTAGAAGTGGTATTATTGGGTTAAATGGCAGTTCCATTTTTAAATTTTTGTTTTCCACAGAGGCTGTGCTAGTCTGCATTCACACCAGCAGTGAAGGAGGGTTCTTTTTTCTCTGCATCCTCTCCAGCACTTTTCGTTTGTTGATTTGTTGATGATAGCCATTCTGACAACACTCAGACAGTCCAGAACTTCAGCTGCTGTCTGTGGGTGCCCATCCAGCCCTTTTGCACTTTCATACTTCATACCAGCCTCCATGACCACGCGCTCCGCGTGTCCTTGCCTCTCTTTCCCCTCCGCCCCCACGCCGTGACCGGTGTGCCCCAGCCTGCACCCCGCTTCCCGCCGCAGCCCCTCGCCCGAGGGGCCTGGGCCGCGGGTGCGGGGCCGGGACTCGGTAGAAGGAGGGAGGAGGGGATTTAGGGGTTTTGGGCCCCGGGGACGAAGTGTGGTCGTGTCACGTAGCGCGGCGGTGGGCGGTTCTCCAAGTTCCATCCTTGTTTATCAGGGTTCTCTCCAGCTAGTCTTCAGATGATTAGTCAGGATGGTTTTTCTGTATTTTAGTTGTAATTCTAGTTTGGTCCTGGGAAAGTGTCAATGTAGCTTCCCAGTACTCTGCTGCCATTTTGTAATCACTCCTAAATTTTAGGATTTCTAATACACATTTTTAAAACAGAAAAAACAACTGATATAATGCTATCACTAAATGAGAGGAGAAAAATAATTAAATGTATTTTCAATTTCATTGTTTATGTCTCTTATTTTATATTTTCCAAATTGGTATAACATTTTGGGTTGTTCCCTTTCATGTACACAGAGTCTTTGGTTCAAGAGGCTCAAATCCTTTGACCTGAATGAAGGACCAGCCTTTCTACCCTTGTAAGGCTCATGATTTTCCTTGTATAGTTGATTCAAAAAAATTTCTTTCAGGACTTCTTTGCTATTGGAGATTTTGTTTCTCTTCTGAGAACTAGGAAATTTAAATTTGAATATAGTGGACTACTAGAACTGTCAAGGCTTGAACTTTATTTAGAAGACTTAGTATTTATTCAACAAACTAATGCAGTGTTTCTATTACTTTAAAGTAAATTTCAAAATAAATGCAAAATATAAAAAATGAGCAGAAGGAAAATGATGTTATTAGACCATATGCCTTAGTGATACCACATTCAGGGAGCTATCCATTTTCTATAAAAAATATAGTAATTGAATCTGACAATAAATTAGAGCTTGGTTAAACTAAAAGTGTGCAGGAAGTTCTTGAGTCCACTTCAACTTGTTTTGATGGGAATGATTAACCATGTAATTTGAATCCTCCATAGTTAGACAACATGGAGAAGTTTGTGTGGAGCAAGAATTGAGATGTTTAAATCAGTGGAGTCAAGTAGGATCTATAGACCCCAAGAGTTCAAAGATGGTTTCAAGAAGATCAAAATTATTTCTGTAACAAAATACTAAGATATCATTTGACTTTTACCATGTTGACACTTGTACCAATGTTACAAAAGCATTAATAGGTATAACTGCTGGGCCCTTGGCCTCAGTCAAGGTCCCCAACTGTACAAGCAGTACCATTAAAATCATCACTCTGCTTTACAGTGGTGCCTCACACAACGAACTTAATTCGTTCCAGGAGCAAGTTTGTTATGCGAAAAGTTCGTTATGTGAAACGCGTTTTCCCATAACAATACATGTTAAAAAAAATAATTCGTTCTATAGCATAAAATATGCTAAGACGACATAAAAAAAGATAAATTTTTTGTTATTATTTTTATTTAGATACATCATGATATAAAAAAAATATTGAGTTTAACTTAAAAGGACGACTGCTGTGATACGTGCGTGATTTAATTTGTAATGAAGAACGATTGCCGCGATACGTGCTTAAGTTAAGCGCAGTGACTAACGACTGCCTGCAGTGCCTGCGCGGAAGGATGCAATACATCGGCAGCGATCGTGGAAGCTCGGGCGAAGCAGTCGTGGAAGCTCGGGCAAAGCGGTCGTGGAAGCTCGGGCAACTTCGTTGTGTGAAACGAAGTTCGTTGTATGAATCATGAAATGAAGTTCGTTGTGTGCAGCGTTCGCTGTGCGAGGCGTTCTTTATGCGAGGCACCACTGTATTTGTAGTTTAAAAAAATAACAACAGCCTGTCTCACTTAAGAATGCCCATTATAATGTAGAAAAACTTTACATTTTAACCTTTGAGTGCATATCATTTTAATGTTTTGTATGACAAAATGGAAAGTACCAAGAAAGCACTTCTGTTGTATGCAGTAGCACAATGATTATCTCAAGAAGCACTTGTGTAATAGCTGAGTTGCAAGCCTTTTATTTTCATGGTACACTATTTTACTTGAAAGAATGAGTATCATAAAGACTATTGTTATTCAGACGAGGGTTTTAAGAAGCAATGCGTGTCACTCTGGCCAGTGTGGCTCAGTTGGTTGAACATCATCTTGTGCACTTAAAGGTCACTGGTTCAGTTCCTAGTCAGGGCATATGCCCAGGTTGCGGGTTGGGTCCCTGGTCATGGGTGTGTACAGGAGACTACTGATTTAATGTTTCTCTCTCTCTCCCTTTCCCTTCCTCTTTCTCTAAAACACACACACACACACAGAGAGTAATGCTTGTCAAGAAATGCAAAGCCATCATTATCTGAAAGAGCTGTTTAAATGCTCCTCCTTTGTCCTCCTACATATCCGTGTGAGGCCAGATTTCCTCACTTCAACCAGGACAACATACTATAGTAGGTTCAGATTCAATGCAAAAGTAGAGATGAGAATCCAGACATCTTCTATTAAGCCAGACACTAAAAGAGATTTACAAAGTTCCAAAACAATGCCACTCTTATTACTCATATTTGTTTTATTTGGGAAAATAAACATATTTTTGTAAATATGTGTTATTTATGTAATGGGATTACTACAGTGTTTTTAAATAAAATAAGCATTTTAAAACTTCTCAATTTAATTTTTTAATATTATAAATATAAGTCATCTAGCCCATCATAAAAGCTCTTCAAGATCCTCAATTTTTGTGAGCAAAAAGGGGCCTATGGCCAATAAATTTGAGAACCCCTGTCTTATATGAACTAAATACAAGTCAATGACATGAGTCCCATTAGTCTTGTTCTCTGGCATGTTTTTCCTCATGTCTGTTTCTCTTTTCTTCTAAGTTAGGCTGTGTGCCAGGACTCTAGGCTTCTAAGGTCCCTACTCTGTTTCAAGTCTCCACGGCCAAAACTAAACCAGGTGGCTGAAGAATGTCCTTTGGGGAGAGAGTGCCTGAACTGAGGGAGAAGTGGACCAGCATTCCAAATCACTGTATCTATCAAGACCTGTCAGAGTTCATTCGACATTGACCAACAATGAGTGCTACAGATTCTGCAGTAAACATCAGCATGAAACAATTGAATCCAAGCAATTTTATAGAGAATTTTGTTTCCTATGTTATATTTGGTCAGAAGCATAAAGGATGTTAACTTTTTTTTCCCCCTGAACTCTGCCACTCTGCAGCAACTATATTAAGAGGAGCAGATTAGTAGGTTATATAAAGAAGGTCCCCTTGGGTTTAAAATTTAGATTGTTATACTATTTACTTTTCTCCGCCTTGAGTTCCTATCTTGCCCAAGACCATAAGCCCAAGAATTTCCAGTATCATCACAGAAATCTACACAGTCTTTTAAACAGCTGCTGAATGTTGATGGTCTCACGATTCCTTAAAGGAATTTCTCTGTGGGTGGGGGAAGTCATCATCTATGACTCAATTAAATATTGCAAGCTCGTCCACAAAAACTAAAGAAATACTGTGGATTCTCAGAATCTCGGAGTAAACTATTCCCTCTTTCATAATTAAGAACTTGGTGAGAACAAACTCCCTATTGCCTTCTTTCAGTTTATGTTTAATGAAAAGACCCCTCTTGGTAAATGATAAAAGTAAATGGGTGACTCCAAAAACTGCAGTGCACCAGTCTCCTGATTCCGCTTTCACACATTTCTCCTGGCTCTGACTTCCCAAGGAGATCACATTGGTTGAACTGTAGAGCTTTCCTCAATGTGACAGATGGAAACAAAGCCAGAGCAAAAGTGATTTTCTCCATTGACACACTAAGCAATACCCTAAACAGCTTCACTTCGCTCAGTGTGAACCCACGGAGAGTACCAAGCATCATAGCTCCTTACCGCTGCCTGGCTTCCATTGCAGGCTGGGCCAGGGAACCAGAGCCTAATGAGCCCCATGAATCTAAAGCTGGAAACTGCTTTGTGTCCAGTTTGTGCTTAGTCCCTCTTTCATGTCAGGGTTTATTACAATAGTCAACTTCTAGTCTGAGTTGAAACCAGGAGATTAGCAGAAAACTTTGGGCTGGGGAAGGTGCCAGAAAGATTTCTGTACACAGATCAAATTAACATACACGTTAATGGAACTGAGTTTACCTCTGATACTATGACGATCCAGTCATCAATAATAAGAGAGGGAAAATCATGTACCCTTCTGGCCCAATAAAAAATAAATAAATATGAAGGATCTGCTTTTTAAATCTTTCTCAAATTGACTGCTTTTGGCCTTCAGTTTTATTAGATTATTGAAATTCTATTGAGCAGTTGTGTTCAATTTGGTGGCTTCAGACATAGGACAGAGGTTAGGTGAGTGGTCCTGCTCCCAAATAATAAGTCAAACCCTGTGGTCCAGGGGACTTCCATTCACTACCTAACGTCAAAAGACTTGCTGCAGGCCCCTATGATCTTTTCTAAGTTAAATTAATATCTTTTCTAAGTTAAATTCATGTCTTATTTATCTACATAAAAATGTGAATTTCTTTTTATATTAGTTAACATTCCCAACCTACCCAAATTGAATCAAACAAATAAATGAGTCAAACACTGCGTGAACATACCTCAAATGTCCCAGTATTCCCAGTTTTGTTGACTCCCAAAACAAAGTTACTCTTAATGTGTCAGGCTCACTGACTCACCTCATCTGAATTGTAAGGCTGAAAAGCAGACCCTGAACCTTGGTGACCCTCTAGGGCAGGGCCACCATGATATGTGACTGCATTTAGGTTTGCTCCTCTTTAAAAGTTTGCCTATATTTGGAGGCAAACTTAACTCTCAAGTGCAAAGTGATTTTGAAGTTATTCTTCTAATGAACTAGGTTTTCTCATGCTCCTGAAACTCGAATGCCTTATTTGTAAGCAAGGCCTCCCTCCATACACTCCATTACAACAGAAATAAGCAAACAGCCTTTCCTCACAGTCAGCTGCCCCTGTGAACAAAAACAAGAGGAGATCCAAGATATTTGTAATCATTTATTGGGAAATCTCTGGCAGATGCATAGGTGGACTGATTCCAACAGCATTCCACTTCCTGCTAGTGCCATATGAGTAATTAATTGTTAAGAAATATGCCCTGGCTGGTTTGGCTCAGAGGATAGAGCACCGGCCTGCAGACCCAAGGGTCCCAGGTTCGATTCTGGTCAAGGGCACGCGCCTTGGTTGCAGGCTCCTCCACGGTCAGGGCTTGTGTAGGAGGCAGCCAATGGATGTGATGTGTTTCTTTCACATCGATGTTTCTCTGTTTTCCCCTCTCCCTTCCACTCTCCCTAAAAATCAACGGAAAAATATCCTCGGGTGAGGATTAAACAAAAATGAAACAGCAACCTCCTGAATACTCAGCCCACAGAGGACAACCATGGATTAAAAATTATCTAAAAATGGAAAAGACTGACTCAAAGAAGCAACTTGTCTAAAAGATAGCATGTAAAGATATTACTGAGAACACCCTGGAAACACAGAAGTCTAGCCAAGTGATTATAAAATCCATTTTTTCAGGTCTGAAATGAAAGGAAGAACTTTTCACATAGGTATGAAAATTGTTGATTGAACAGTGCTTAAGGGAGAGGGAAGAGCTAAGATTATTAGCTCCTCAAGAGCAAAATCTTAGGACAACAAATGGGTCATCAAATTACAGAAACCTGAATGGAGTCCAGTCCAAGGTCTATCTGATCACTCTCCCTTAGCCACCCTTCCACCAATGTGTGTGGAAATAGATTGCTCTCAATGAGAACTCAACTGATTCATAAAGTTCTATGGCACACGATTCAGAAACCTCCCAGCACATTGGCAGTTTTGATCTCTTCAATTCTAGTTATCAAAGCTCACAACTCACATATACCAACATGGGCTGAGTTCATTACAGATAGTGGGGAATTATATTGTGAACTGGCTCTGATATTAAGAAGGGTATATATAGTTCCTAATGCTGCCGTAACAAATCACCACACAGTGGACTGAAAACACAGATTTATTACCTGCAGTTCTGCAGGTTGAAAGCCCAGCAGGGGATTTCCTGGATAAAATCCAGGTGTCAGCAGGACTGCAGTCCTTTCTGGGGGAGAATCCATTTCCTTGCCTTTCCTGAGATCCTGGCCCCTCCTCATATCCCATCACTCTGACCTACTCTTCTGCCTCCCTCTTCCCACTTTGAAGGACCCTGGTAATTTCACTGGATGCACAGAATAATCCCGCATCATCTCTTGTTTTAGGATCAATTGATAAACTCTCTTAATTCCTCCTTGCCATAGAAAGTAATATGTTCACATGTTCCAGGATTAGAACATGAACAGTGGAGGGTGGAGAGGATTCTACCTATTGTACTATGAAACATTCCTCATTATTCCTTAATTTTATCTCTAAATTAGCTATTTAGAAAGCAAAGTATCAGGATCATGTCAACTACTCTCCAGAGAAATTAATTTCCAGAAAGCCCCATGGACCACAGTGCTGCCCACACCTGGCTTCCAGAAAACTTAGAGCTAAATCCATCCCACTTCCTGTAGTAGTTTCTGTTTTGTTTTAGCTTTAAATAAAATTTCCTCAAGTACTCTAAGAAGTAGTCAGTTCTATCTTAATAAGCATAATAAAAGCATCGAACTTTAATTATTTTTAAAAGAAGATAATTTTAGAACTACTTTTGAACATTTTTCAAATGCTTTATCAGGTTCAGAATACTATAATTTAAGAATATTAAGATTTTCTGGAAACTTATGCTTGGTATGTACTCAGTAGATATTTGGTACATAATGCATAGCGATGGCTATAGTATTTTATGTAAATCTAGACCCAGTGATCTGGACACTATGAGGATGTTCTCTGAGTTTGAGGCCTTGAACTGTCAGAGGTGATAGAGGAAACCATACCCAGTAGAGGATGTGCTTCCCACTCCCACTCCTGCAATTACAGGGAGTAGGGGTGTCCTCTGGCCAAACTTTGATCTTCAAAGCAATTAGGTGCAAGTAAGGCCTCCAGCATTTATGCAGATTCCAGTGCAGCCAAACTTGCAGGATTCCACCTGACATTCTCTCAGTCATCTTTATGTAGCCGTGCACAAACAACCCAGGTTCTTCAGGGTTCTCCGAACTTCCTTATGCTGTACTCTGCACTTAGAGCACTTCCCCAGCTCCATTTGTCACACTCCCAGAAGTCCTACATTTCCATTCTTAAATGTCACCTCCTCCATCCTGCCTTTCCCAGTGCCATCTCTCTCTTTTAAAACTTCAAAGTATTTTGTCTTTTTCTTTATGGTGCTTATGTGTTATATCGATTTTGTAATGCAAATGTACATACATATATACATACACACATGCATGTTTATGGGCCATAGGTCTAATTTATCTTTATATCCCCTGATAGAAGAAAAAGACTTGTAAATAATACGCACTCAAATGTATTCATTGAATTTAACTACAGTACCTCTTAGTTATATGAATGACTTCTGTTGGAATAGAAATAAAAACCTACACTATTGCTCATCACATTGCATTATATTTTATAGGCCAGATAATCTAAATGGTTTACCCAAAAGTTTGTTGAAATTAAAATGCACTTATTTCAAGATTCAACAGCTCCCTCCCATGGTCTCAGAGGGAAATTGGACTTATTGGCTATAAAGCGTTGAGTCAAACCACAATTTCAATTTATTTTAGAACTTAAATTTGAAGTGGTTCTGAATCAATTTTAGTTTTAATGTTAGGAGCCATATATCACCAAATGATAAATCTTATTTTGTGTCATGTTTATGCCAAGAATAAAAATAAGCAGTTATGTGAAATTTAGGTCAATGGTTTCCATCTCAAATGACTGTAAAACTATTTTTTAAATGTATTAATATATTTTAACTGAAATGTTAAGATATTTGATTAAGTTTAGAAAGTAAGTTTTCAGAAAGTCATATATTTTTGCAGTACATGAGAATGAATATATCTGGGAACTCAGTGACAATATAGAGTTAGTATATATATGTTTTTCTCATAATTTGGAATAACAGCATTGTTAGGGGCAGAAATAGAATAGTTGGGACTAGCTATAGTTATAAAACATATTAATAATGCTCTATTAACTGTGATTGTTCTGTTCCGATTAAAGAAAGCATATTCTGACTTGTACGCCCTGGGAGATGGGAGTCAACCTCAGAATATGGCCCATTCTCCTAATCGGAGAACTACCTACCATGGGGGGGGGAGGGGAATTAACAACCATGTTGCCAAAACAATGGAGCCCCAGAGGTGCCCGCCCTTTGTGACCTCTCAGCCCACATTGCCTGTAACCTGTAACCATTATACCTTGCCTACTTCCCTATGCTTGTAATTCCTACTTTCCCATGTAATCTTTGTCCTTCTACCCAATATAAGCAGCTGACTTATGGTGAGGAGTAGAACAGATTTTCATGGATGACCTGCTGCCCTCCCATACTGCCTGCTTTATTAGAATCAACACTCATACATAATTCAACCCTATCTCTGTTGTATTGGCTCAAATGGTGACAGGCAGCCCAGAGCTATTCATTGTCAGTTTCACAATTACAGACAAGTTAAAAAGTTCAAGCATTTTAATTATACAATCAAAGGCTCAAGATTGAAATGGAACAACTTAAAACAAGAAACAAAGTAATTGTCCACAACATTAAACCCAAAAGTATAGCTCTCAATGAGGTCCAAATTTCTTAAGTCACCAAGCCTATGGTTGGGAGTTTCATGCCAACAGAGAAAAACTGTCTGAAGGAGGTCAAGTTCTAACTATTGGTGACTTTCCGTGCTCTGAAGTGGACTTCCTAATGGAGCAGCTGGAGTCAACTCATTGCACAGTGAGGGCTTAGGCTTCATAAAGTGAATTCTGACACAAGATTTCTGGCTGGTCAGAAGACTCTGTAGAAGCACTCCAGGGATAAGTGGAGGCAAAGGGGATCTTAACCTCCACCATTGGCTCATTGGCTCCAGGAGAGCAAGAAAGAGGCAGTATAGAAATTTATACCTGCAGTTGCTAACCCCACCTCATTTGGAAAAATAAAAAGTCTATTTAGACTACAGTTGAGGAACTGCTGTGCAGGAATTGACCCTGACTTGCAGGACTTGCTTCAATGGGGTTTTAGTGCTCACCAAGTCTGCCCCTTGAGTGTGTCGCTTGTGGAAATGGTAGGGTTGTAATCCAGTGTGATCTGAAGCTGTCCACTAAGTACACTGGCTGTGGGCCCTACCTGGAGGTACAAGGTCAGCCATCTCCTGTGCCCTGCCTAGGGCCACTTGGTACAAGCTACAGAGCAATCTGCAGATAGCTGCTACTTGTACTGGGCTCCCATAAGACTGTCAACAGATTTCTCAACAGAAACTTTGCATGCCACAAGGGAGTGGCAAGAAATATTCAAAGTAGTGAAAAACAATGGCCTATAACCAAGATTACTCTACCCAGCAAAACTA